GGCGGCTCGGCAGCGAGCGGGGATTCCGCGGGACGCGAGGATGACTAACTTCGCCGCCTGACACGTTCTCTCTCTCTCTCCCCCAACTCCTCAACTCGGCCGAAAGCCTCTTCGAGGCGGCGCCGCGCCGGCCTGGCTTTGTTCTGACAAGTCGCACCTTTGCTGCACAGACTCGTCAGGCAGGCGGGCAGTCACCCAAAGATACGCTGCTTCTCCCCCAAGCTTATCCCCCCCCCGGCTTCACCAGCGAACACCTCTCGTCTTTTGTGTCTGCGGGAGTTTTTGACAGTGGTGCGCGTCCACTGGAGCTTTCCCGTGCAGCAGCTGGACGAGGCTAGCCGCGTCAGAGCCCAGGCAGAGAACAGTCCTTCTCGTTTCAATCCGCGTGAAAGGAAAACGTCCCCATGCCGGTTTTTTGTTGAATGAAGGGGATCAGAAGCAAACGCTTTTCGTCACGTATTCCAGGGCATTAAGCTACGAGTATAAAAACGTAAACAAAGGCTGTATCCCTAAGCAAATCAGTCCTAGTGATTTAGCTGTAAAGTTTATAGACGAACTTTAAAGAAAATAACCTGGTTCAGACAGATCTTGCCTTCTGGGCACTAGCAAACACACCTGCAGCAATTCGATACTTGGGAATGCAGATTACAAGTCCTTCACTTCAAAAATGTTTGTTTTTAAATTCAGAAAGATGAAAGAAAAGAAAGTACTGAGCTTTTTTTCTGTTGAGCACAGATGTTGCCAGCGTTTCCAGTGCTCGCAGGGAACGAGAACCTGACCCAAACGGTGCAATAATCCCGAATTCAGAAGGAAAATGCATGCCTTCTGCAGTCGCATCTTCACGAACCTTCTGAAAGTTAATACATACTAGATACTCTCCGGGCAAACGCTTCCCACCAAACCAGAGTAAGAACTGTATACTACATGAGCTTTCACATCCTATTACATTCTGCTGCTGTATCCATAACTTTTGCCTTCATCAAATTTCTTCTTCTTCTAAACCAAACAAAATGCGGTAGGCAGAAGTCTTCTACTTGATATAATTAGCTGAAACGCTACATACTACTGCCAAACAAACTTACGCTTGTTTCGAGCCTGCTCATTTGGGTTTTTGCCTGTTTAATTAATGAAGACTAATGAAGACTTTTTTTAATAGGCTTTTCCAAGGCCAAATCACCATTCCTTGCAGCTCCTTTCTCAGGGCCTGTCCTGTTCCCACTTCCACAGTATTTAGCTAGCTCACATTTCACCAAAAGTTACTTGTTTTCTCTCAGTATTTGTTGTTGCTGCACTAGGAGGGAGCAGAAAATTCTACCTTACTCAAAAAAGTAGAAATCACTCACTCTTGCAATCTTAACTCTTTTGTCCTCTTAAGAACTATTCTCGTCTAATTTGATTACATTGACCTGATTTTTATCTTAGGAGAAAAGGAGTGAGAATGACTCATGATTAAAAGTGCAGTTGGTTCTACTGTCATTTCTGAGTCCATAATTTTCTTTGCAAATAAATAATTTCTTTTTAAACCTACAACAATGTAACTAATATCACATAAAACATAAACACATATGAGCGCAAAATTAGGTATTTTTTTGTGCGCTCGTAACAGATCTTGCAATACACAGTGGCTAACATTTGCAAACCCATAGCAGGTTTTTCCTCCCACAGGGGGGAGGAAAAAAATACCACACAAGTTAAGGTCATGTTTGGGTTGCGCCTTACCCTCTATTTTTACTTTGCAGACCCTCATGGACTAGAAAATTCGTGATGCTGCAGGAGTGCGCTTGCTTAGTGAATCGTAACGGGATTAACGTACTGAAGATGTGCTGAAGTTGGAGACCTACAGCATTTTGCCCTAACCCCTGCAATGGCCAATTTTGCCAGCGTTTCAGTCAAAGCCCTGATGCTGTCTGGGATTGTTACTGGCCTGTTCAGAGTCTGCACTATCCGTGTATTATTCCCTTAAGAACCATTTACCTTTTACTCTACAATCACGTCTCTATCAAAGCAATATTTCTAAGGCCTAAAGCAATGGCTGCAGGTGTACTGCTTTTATGGCAGAGCCAAAAATAAAACAACAAGCTAGACCAAAAACCCTATCTATTACATGTCTAATAATTTCAAAATTTCGCTGTGGTTACCTTTCACTAAATCGCAGAGGTCTTCATAAAAACAGAGAATCAGGGAACACTTGAGTTAGAATTAAACATTGCGATCTTTGTATTTGTAAGCACTGGAGCAACGTTTAAACAATTAAAAGCTTTCTGGACCACAAAAATTCTGGTTTTGTCATTATTTTCATGAGATGCAAGATAAAAATCTTACATGTCGAGAATATTTTGTATTTCATAATCCATATTTACATATATTTACCCATACACATAAAGTGCTTACCCTTTCTTCAAAATTAAAACCAAAACTTGCTCTAGAAATCAAACAGATTTCTTCATTTGGACCCTAACTAAATTGCTTTTCCACATTTCTATACCATTAACTTTCACAGTTCAAATTACAGCCACCGTACTATGATTCAGGTTTCAGCCTGAATTTAAATTCCCATGCAGTGAGGATCAATCCTATTGCTTACAAAGTTACGAGACTGGATCCCTGAATGCATTTTCCTGTATTTTTTATTTACTCTTGTTAATACAAGTTTCTTTGATTAGCTAAACTTTACTGTTATCAACACTTGTCTCTTATCACAGGCCCTAGGCAAATGACATATTTACCACTCATTCCATTCTGATAAGGGTAATCCTGTGTTTAACTTGCCCAAGAACAAACACCATATATTTTGTTTTTAAGAATCCTGCTTCTAGGTATTAACGACATACAAGAGAATGAGCAGGACATTTTTAAACCATAAGTTATTTGAAGAATATTTTGTGAATGTAAGCTTTTAACGACAGCATATACCTTCTACTCCAGGAAAGTTTATTTAATTCCAAGTTTCCGCAATATCACCGCTGAAGTTATACTAAAGTTTAAACCGCGGAGGGAGGAAAACACGTTTTTAGTAAAACATCTGTTTTGGGTTTTTTGTTTCCCCTAACTGAAGCTCTCCCATAGCTAGTACCAGTATTTTGAAGAAAAAGCTTTGTTTCGTATCTTGTTTGAAGCATTCTGAAAACAGCATGGAGAAAATAAACATCCCATGCCGAACTTCACAGTCTAATTTTAATTGTGAAGGCATCAAAACATTTTCAGTGTTGTAGGCTGGTAGTCACTGATTTTTACAATTCTGTTTTCATTACTCAACCCACACAAATGTCATATGGTAACTGAAAACTTTTGAGCAGAGTGAAAACCACAGTATTTCACCAAACATTTTTTAATTTATTTTTTAATTCCCCCCTCCACTTCTTTGAGATAAAGTGTATTGAAGGGAGAACTATTCTAATTCCTAGATAACTTTTTAACATACTGCAAAACAAAAATTTCAGAGTTATACAGTTAATGGTGTACTGAAGTGCCCGAGAGCGTGCTAAAAACATTTTGATAGATAGCCAAGTCATTTATCTAAATCACCGTCAGAGCAGTGAAGCATCCTGCAAACTTTTATGCAGAGTATAAGGTGATCCTTTCTAGCACTTTTTATCATTTCTCAAACTTGAAATTGTATTGTTAAAATACTGCCACTGTTTACCATCTATACATTTCAGCCACAAATCAAGACCCTATAACATAATAATACATTTTCAGAAGTGTCCTATCACTAACTCTCCCTCTTCGTTACCAGTGCAACGCTGCCTGAATCTCAAGGTATAGAAATAATTGATGGTTAAACTCAAAGGGTGTTCACAGTAAGTAGTTTTCTAGCAAAACAGCAACTTCTTAGAGCAACAAAGTGAAGAAGTAAGGTGGCAGCAAGGTCAGTACAAAGAAATATTGCCTTTTCTTAGGAAACTTAAAACTACTGTCTGATTTTTGGAATGGCACCTACCCACAGCAATTCCACATCTTTGCAAGAACTGTATGGAGCAGCATTTTAATTGCTTGGCTGCTCTGCTAAAATGCACTTCAAGACAACATGCATCCAGATTATCAAATGTGGTACAAAATTAGATTAAGGAGGCAAAGAAAAAAACTACCACAGAAATGTTATGTAAATTCATCCTTCACTGGTTGGAGTTTTGCAAGTATTTGCTGGTTTATGTTATAATTTTATGTGCTCTTGCTTGGCTCCGCAACTGTTGTTAGGATCAATATGCTACATGAGAAGGGATAAACAGAAAGCAGTCGGGTGACTCTCTCCTTTTTCCTTTCTTGCCAAAAGGAGAAAAAAGGCTTGCATACCACATTTTGCACAAAAACTTGCCCCACCCCTCATTACCCCTGTGCTTAATTACAAGTATTTCTTTTTTAAATACATGCAAATAAATTAATAATAATAATAATAGTAGTAATAATAATAGTAGTAATAATAATAATAATCGCAGCAGCTTTAAAGTGGAAAAATAACAGTTGGGACCTACATTGAGCACTGTGCCGGTGTTGCCACTCTGTTTGTGCCAATCCACTGAAGCATGCTTTGAGAGCCTTCTCCTGGAGCATGCAGGAAGACGGACTCGCAGTGTAGAAATCCAGCATCTGAGCAGGGCTCACTGCTAGAACATCCATACAGTCAAACATGATTCCCCCTGCACAGAATGCCTGCAAAAGTGCTTTCCTCTAGGTGTGGAGGAAAATGGCACATAAAAGTACACCCAACTCCATCAAACTCTGCCCCTTTTTTGGCACGTAGGCTGTTGGTCTTTTTCCCAGACCAGAATCATGAATTATGACAGACAACACAGCTAAAAGCCTGTAATTGATCCAAATGATCATTTACCATTTTCCAGGCTGCCCAGCCAATCCAGCAAGATGGGGGGAAGCCAGCCGCATTCCAAGTTTTAGCTCCCATCCATTTCCCCCCCAAACTGCGCTAGAGTCAGTCCCGCTCCTCGGGCGCTCGCCGGGTGCCCGCCGCCTCCCGCGCCGTGCCGATCGCCCGCCTCCCCGGGAGAAAACGGCTCCGGTAGGGACCTGGGATCCCCCTCGGCCGCGAATAGATCCTTCTGCCTCTGAACAGCTCACTTCCTACTACTTGTGTCACAGGGAATGAAAGATTGAATTGCCTAATATATGCGAGTGAACTTTCCGTGAACCCTTCCCAGGCTGCTAACCTTCAAATGACCCAAGCGGTCTGACATCACCAGCTCCCAGGATTCTCACACGCCTTCACGACTCCCAGCAGCCCTGCAAAAAAAGCAGGCAGGCGGGCAGGCAAAGGCTAGCCCCAGCCCTGCCGGAGTCGCCCCGCTGCCGCGGAGCGGCTGGCAACGGCGGCTGCCCACGGGGAGGCCAACTTGCAGAAAGACCCCAAATAATGCAGTTACCAGAAAAAAAAAAAAAAAACCCAAAACAAAAAGCACCACAAAAAAACAACCAACAAACAAACAACGAGGAGGAGGGGAAGGGGAGTGGGAATTGAGACGGAGACCTTTTCAGTGGTTGTGCAGAACGGAGGATTTTTAAATTCCAGCTCGATTTGCTAAAACTTCTGTGCTCCCCCCCGCCCCCCAACGTGTTCTTTTCCTCCCCGGAGAGGCCACGAGCAAGGCGCAGGCGCCCGCCGCCATACCAGAGCCGTGGACACCGGCTTCGCCCCAACTTCTGGGGCGGCCAGGCCGGGCTGGGGTCGGAGCAGCCTCATCCTAACACAGCCCCTGCGCCCACCAGCAGGGACCCCCCCTTCCATGCCACCGGCGGAGACGACGGACGGTGGGGTGCCAGCCCCACTCCTGGCAGGGACCTCACAGGCCTGTGCCTCCCGGGGTGCGGGGGGTCAGGTCCCACCTCTCCTCACCATCCCTTACGCTGGCTCCTAAATCACCCAGCGCTCCCAGGCCTCCCCCATGCGCCAGATTTGGCAGGCATCGTTGCCTGTCCCCATCACACTCAGCCCGGGGCAGGAGGCAGTCACACATCCCCTCTTCTCCCCAGCCCAGCCGCCGCCGGGTCCTGCCTGTCTCGGATTAGCAGAGAGGGGCAGGGGCCGCTCGCGTGGCCCCGGAGGGGCTGTATCAGCTTTTGGAGGGCTAATGAGCCCCAGCTCCCCGGGAGCAGGTCCGTGGGGAACGGGCACCCACCCCAGGGTGCCAGGAGGGGAGACCATGTCTGTCCCCTCCCCAGGGCAGGCAGCCCCCGGCCACCCCTTACAGCCATTTTGAAGTCATGGGGCTGCTCCCACCAAAACACCTACTGAGGTCTCTGCGAAACCACGGTGCCAGCAGCCCTCCCTCCTAGCGGGAGTAGGTGTCAAGGCCTTCCCAGGTCTGTGGCCGGGATGCCACAGCCAGCACCGCGCTGGCCCATCATTTGCATCGAGCTAGCAGGGACCCCCATGCTTTTTAGGTAAATAACCACCTTCTGCAAAGTCTTGCTCACAGAGAACGACTCCATCAAGGCCTCCACCAGTCCCTATTCCTACGGACACTTTGAAAATGAAAAACAACAGCCTGGGAACACTCCCTCTGCCCCACTGGAAAGGACGTGAGCTCGATGACCACGTGCACGCTTTCATTTTAAGTGAGTAAGCCGAGTCGCCTTCAGCCCTGGCAGACTGAGCACCAGCCTGGAGCAAGGTTTCCCGAAGCATGGAGGAGCCTCGCTTCCCACCCCAAAGCTACCTTGGGTTCAGAAACTGGAAAACGAAACCCTTGATTACTGCTTGTTTCCTGAAAAGCCCAAGATGGGAGTCAGGCAGAGCCAGGGACGCTGTGCGCAGACATGGCACACAACTGGCGACCGTAAAGAAACGCTGGGGAGAGACTCACTCTGGGACCTGCGCAGGCACTTTAATGGATGCGGTGTCCCCTCTCCACAAAAAGTCCTTTGATGAACCGAAAGCTCTCTGACAATGCCTGCAGATTGTATTAACAAAACTTTTCACACAGGTTCAAGAATTAAAAAAAAACCCAAACCCCCCACACAGCACATACACTTGTTCCCTGAAACCAATATACCCACGTTGAAAACCAGCAGCCAGCAAAAAGACCTGCTGCAATCTGGAAGCTAATCCATTTGAAGAGATAAAAACAATAGCTTTTCTTAGCCTCCTTCCCCCTCCGACGGGAGAGCTCTGGCTGTCCCTGCAGCAGGCAGCCTTTCTTCCCGTCTTCCCTCCGGGCTGAAGAGTTACAAGCGCTGGAGTTTAACAGCGTCTTTTTAAGGACTTTTAAGGGCCTTCTTGGTCCATTGGGGGGTCCTCTCCCAGCCTGGACTCCTCCAGCTGGAGAAGCCCCTGACACTCTGTAATCCAAAAATTATGCACAGCACATGTTTATCGAAAAAGCCATCCTTTAGGGAAGGCTTGTTTAAACCACGTCAGCACAGCAAGCGGCATTTGCTGTATTAAAAAGGCAAGTGGAATAGTGGCTAATTTTTTGTTGAAATCTCAGCTGGCTACACTGCTACGATTTTGTTTTGAGTAGCAAAGCTAAATTAAAAGACAGTATTTTCTAACCAGATGACACAGAATGCACCAGAAGTTTGGAACATGTAACATGTCACCACAAAAATAACTGGAAAGGATGATACAAAACACAGTATGTTTTTTCAGTCTCCGATTTAGGGAGAAAACGACATTTTGTGTGGGCCAAGGCTCTAGGAACAGTTTAAGCTTCTGCCAAGAAAAACATATTGCCCATGTGAGTTAAAATAAACAAAATCAGACAAACAGAAATACAGTTAGTTATGTTTATTCCATTAGCAGTCTTATAATACCATATTTAAAAATAAAACCTGCCTGTTGTACCTCAAAATGTAGGCTGGCAACTTCTGAAAGTAAATGTCAGGAAGTCACGCTTAACTGCATATGAATTGAAAAAGATTGCTTTTTCTCGCTGTATCTAAATGAGCCAGGTAGCTCATCATTTTTTATTACGAATAATAGTTGTGCTAATGCTTATACTTATTACTAAAACCACATGTAATTAACAAATTCTTCAAATAGCCTAATGGTTTGCTCACATACTTTATCTACAATACAGTAATTTATGTGTATCATATTTCACTCTGAAATAGCATGATACTTGTTTTTCTTAAACAGAGTATCAGGAAAAGCTGCATTCATAAAATGGTGGGTATTTTCTAATTTAGATTAGGACTAACCATAATTATTGTATTAACTAATAGCCCTCTAATTCAAATGTAATGAAACTTTAAGTATTGCCACATATTTTAAATACCTACCCAGATCCCATAGAGGTGCGAGTAGGCAACAACTCTCCAGTATCTTCCACTTTATCCATGCAAAGAAATTGTGATTTCACATCACCACTTTGATCTGTTTTCTCTCAGACCGTGATGGCAGAAACTTTACAATAAACATATTCTTAGCCACAAGTGAAATAAAAAGCAAAAGTTCAAGTCAGAAATCTATTTCCTTTGGTGTTACTGTATATTTGTCAGTGTGACATAGCACATTTGAAACCCATAATCATAAAACAAAAATTTACAGCCAAGGTTTAGGGTCTACATCTGTTTCTCTGGTTTTTGTACTGCAATTACCCACTGGACAATTCAGAAAGCAGCACTATGAATCATGTACTGCACACATGTTTGTGCTGGTCACTTTTTTGTTAGTACAAGAGGCTGAGGATGCCGTAATATGCTTCACCAAGAGAAAGAGCATTAACTAGAATTAGGATGAGTGCACTGGGCTCTCTAATAAAAATGACTTTACTAGAAGCAACAGAGTACTCCTGGAATATTACAGGCATATTTATAGGATGGAAAAATTAAGAAGTACATGCAAAAATTCTCCAAAATGAAGTACCTCAGGGGAAGCGGACTTTTTTTTTTTCCATGCATTTTACTATTAATCAAATGTAGCACTCTCTTGAAACAGTTTTGACAGCAGAGTAAATGGTTACTAGTGAATGATGTGTGTGTTTAAGCAGTGAAAGCAGAGACAAAGTGATGTTTTCTTCTACTCCCTAGGCAAGAGCTGACACTAAGCTTGCTGCCTCAGCTTTGATACTCACAGATTCCTTTGTGTCAGTTGCTGGGAGAATCACTGGCAGTTCACTAACCCTGCCTCACACACAGGGGCTTTGATTTTTACCTCTTCATTGAGAATAGATGTTAATATGAAAAAGCACTTGTCTGCCTTGGCAGTTTTTTTTCTTTGGGTTCCCCCCCCCGCCCCTAACTGGTGATACAGGGTTTCAAATCTGAAAACCTGAATCCCCCTTCACTACATGTATTTTTTTGTGTTGTAGGATGTTTTCCTCATGTCTCAAGCACATGAATGATGTCAAAAGATTATAGGGAAGAAAATCACTGGATTACAAGAGAAGGACTGAATATTTAAAACTCCAAGGTAGTCCTGAGGAAATGGGTATCAATCCTGAACAAGAATGGCCCTGAAGAAAATAAAACAGTAAAATTACTGGCACAAAATGGCACAAATGGCATGGTAAAACATGAAGTACAGTGAAGTTAAGTCAAAAAGGGGTTTCTTCTGACTGCTATATGCTACTATGCACAGCTCGCAATAACTGAAACAGGAGTTTGCACGTAACAGGAAGAATTACTTCAGGCCTGAAACGTAACAGCAACTGGTGTAAGACTATTCAGTGCAGAGCAGTATTTCATTTTAGATGGGAAAAGCAAAGTTAGTCAGCTCCAGACTCAGAACGCAGGCATGCAACCAGTCTGCGAGTCATTTACCAATAAAGGCTTTTTGTCTGTTTTAATCTGTGGATATGTATTCGTAAAGATGCCTTTAAAGCTCATTGCTTAACTTAAAGACTATAAAAATAATTCACCTCCACAAACTTCAGTACACAACCGCGTTTCTTAGAATCCATACTGTGTTTTGTACTCCTCTGGCCCAGAGCCAGAGAACTGCCCTGCATGATGAAACTGGAACTGTATCTGGTTCAGCAACCCATTTCTAAGAGCTACTAGATCTTTCTAAGGAAAATACAGGAATCCCTAGTGATTGGCGAAGTATAACTCACCCATAGGTCCTCTAATAGCCTGTTCTCTAACAGCAAATCACTTAAGCATTAAAGCATGAGATTTAATATCCTT